AGACTAATGGGTCCTGGACCCTTGGACAGCTGCCCTTGAATATGCACCTGAGAGCTGCCCACTTGAAAATCCATGGTGAGACGGGCCCAATCACATATCACCGGCCCTAGTTGCCTTAACCATTGGACTCCGAGAACTACATCTGCTCCACTGATTTCCAGGGGGTGCAGATCTACCTCGAACTCATGTCCTTGTATCTTCATCTTTAATTCTGCGCACGTACTGTCGCACACCAGGTTGCTCCCATTAGCTACGTGCACCCAGAAGGCTGTACATGGTTGAACCGAAATCCCTAGTTGTTTGACCAATGTTTGGGTAATGAAATTGAGAGTGCTGCCACTGTCTATCAGAACCGACACATGGCGCCCTTGTACCAATCCGGTTACTCTCATAGTTTGAGAAGAAGCAAGACCGGTCAAGGCTTGTAGGGATACTTTCGGGTATTCCTTTGTCCATTGCCCCCATTCTTTGTTGTCCATTGGCTCTTCGATGTCTGTTGATTGCTTGACATATTCGGTTTCAGGTTGAAGAAAGAAAACTTGAGGGATATTACAGGGATGGCCCGGCCCGAATTTGTCTCCACATGCATAACAAAGGCCCTTTTCCCGTCAGGTTTGCACGCACACAGCTAATCTTTCGAACGCACATAGCTAATCTTTCGAACGCTATCTGATAATCTTGGACGGAGCCGGTCTGTCGTAGCTTAGCGAGGCTTTCATCATAGTTCTCAAAAGCCAAGACTCCAAATCGCATGGTTAAGGCATCGGTGAAGTCTGCCCATGTGGATCTTGGGTGTTGTCGCCGGTACCACTGGTACCAGATGATCGCCTCTCCTTCCAGGTGTGCAGAAGCTAATGAAACACGATCAGGTCCTTGTGTGTCATGGTAATCGAAGTATCTTTCTGTTCGCAGAAGTCAGGATGTGGGATCTCCCCCTACGAAGATGGGAAACTCGATTCTTGCTGTTCTTGATCCGCTTCGATGACTGGTGTCACTGCGCTCTTCCTGATTCGGCGCAGGTGGTGCCTGTGTCAGTTGTTCAAGCAAGGATGCAAAGCTTTCTTTGATTTCTTTGACGTCAACCGATACTCTTTGCATTTCTCCTTCCATGTTGTCGACTCTGTTCTCCATTGCGGATGACCTTGTGCTTGGCATCTTGGCTCTGATACCAACTTGTTAGGGACTGCCTAACTCAGGGACTCTTTCGAGGGAGCCTGCCTCCTGAATGAGAGTGAGAGAGAGAGAGAGAGAGAGAGAGAGAGATTGTATTCCCAAATCGATAATCCCCTCCTAGCTTCCTTTCCTTATTTATATACTGCTGTTACAATTCTGTTATACCCGCCTCTCCACTTGTCCAGTTTGTTAGTTAGTTTGTTCTAGTGGTTGGCTGTTAGTTACATTCTTCAAAGGCTGGCGTGGCCTTTTCTTGTACACTTGTATTCCCTTTATTTGTGTCTCAACAACTTTCAAAAGCATGCGCCTGGTGCACCTAGGTGTGTACCTTGCACTTCAGCCCTGGTGCACCTAGTGCATTCAAGGGGACCCAAGTAGCTCACATATGGTCCAATTTTAAGGTCTGAATAGACGTCCTAGACCTGCAACTGAGACTCCAGAGGTGGATATGTATCTGCATCCCACATATCATGGAAAGAAATAACGATATCTCATATATGTTCAAGTTTCAGGTTGCTTAGTTTGCAAGCTTATACTTCATTATGAACCCAGAAGATGTCTATCATGGAGTAGCAGTATTACCAAAAAGGGTCTTCCTGAGATGGTTATGGATGGAACCTCCACAATCTTCAATTTGATCTCTTTGTGTGATATGGGCTGCAAGATGAACAAACTTAACCTTTTTAGGATGTGGACCTTAACGAACATATGATATTCTAAACATGCACGAAAGATGAAGAGTGTGTGTGCGTGTCACGATGTAGAACAAATAAAAGTACGCATTTCCTAAAATTCATAAAATTAAAATATATGCCTATATCATTTTTCAAGACTTAAACTTGCCAAATTTAATTAAATTACTAACATGTGCAAAAATTTTATAGTATAATTTGTTAAAACATATCATTTTACATATTTTAGAGGTGTTAATGCTACAAATTCATATTGGGCAGTGTGCAGATACAAAGCACTCTACAATAGAGTGATGTCTATTCTTGGGTGAGCCCCTCATCTATTGGAAATGCAAGAAGCAACAAATCGTCACCAAGACTTCCACAGAGGCCGAGTCATGTCATGTCTTCTATATGCGTTTCTGCTAAGTGGACTGCCACTTCATCAGGATCAATATGTGATTAGCCTTATTACACTTCCATGCATAGCCTCAAGTACTAGTTGACTGATATTTTCACATATTATGACTCCGTTACAACCTCTTGCTAACAAAATGATACCCTGTCTATCTTGTACTGTATTGTTATTTTGTATTTCCCTGTATTTGCATTGCAGTCTCCACTCTCCACATGGGAACACATTTTCTATGTGCCTCCCTTGGGGTCTCTCTGTAATTATGTATATTTTATACAACATATATGCAGGACTGTGTGGGCTGTTGACAGTTTTAGACATCCACTCTCATATGTAAGTTTCTCTTTACATCTTTCTTTTTTTTTCTTGTTCTCATGAGTGCAACCTAGAGGTCTTGGTCCTCATAGGATTTAAGTATCTAGAAATGGAAGAAACTATATAAATTAAAGTCCATAAAACCATATCTAAAAAGAGAACAGAAAAAATGAAAAAAGGAATTTATTCCTCAAAAACTGCATTTCGTTTGTCATAATTCCGTAAATAATGAAGTACCATTTCATAGGTTTGGGGGATTCTATCCTTGTGGAGTTCCAAGCAGTTTTGCAGGGAGTTCAGATTTCTAGAGAGCTGAATTTTGATAGGCTCTTAATGGATAGACTCTATCCATGAGCGCTCTGTAATCAGGTCTTATAAGGATTCAATGAAATGATTTAAATGGCTGACCACCAATTTCTCTAAGAGTTTGTTGGGAAAGGAGATCGGCCAATGGGATTGTGGACTACTTAGCTAAGCAAGGAATCCACAAGGACCATCTTTTTTGGGCTCATTTTTAATACGTCTCTGTTTTTGTTTTTGAGGCTGCAGCTCGTGCCTCTTATTGGGAAGCTTCATTGTATACTCTAATTCCACTATTGAATAATTAATAATTTTCATCATTACTTATAAAAAAAATGAAGTACCATTTCAATGTAGAAAATGAATATGAACTTACACTGCCAAAAATCGGTTGTGTCTGCAGCCGCCCAGGTTCACCCAAATTAGTATGCCATGTAATCTGAAACTTACCAAGGACATTACTTCCCTCAACTTTCATTTGTGTGGATTCATGTGAGGACAACCTCAACTGATAGAGATAATTGTGAATTCCTCCCCCAGATCTAATGAGAATGGGTGGCTTAAATATCTCTCTTCCAATTAGTATGATTGGAAGATTGACAAGAAGATATTTTATATCAGTTTTATGAATAAGCAAAGCACCATGAGGATAACAAAGCTAATAATACTCCATTTATTTGCACCACCTGGTTTGACAATTGATCTCTGAATAGTGTTCATCAGCTTTCAATGTTGTTGTACTCCAGTTCTGAGCTGGCACAAAATCAACTTGCTCCATGTAAAGGTTCGATTTTGTATGGTTTTCAATGCAAGCCTCCAAAAATGTAATGTCCTGAGAGGGAAAAGGACAGAACTATCTTAAGTAAGATGGATTAGGAAGAGACACATATGGCAGCACCAGATTTAATTTCCTAGGAGAAGGCATCCAGATAGCACCAACACAATTGAACTATCGAAACAGTGATTACAATCCAAGACAGAAGTGACATAAACCAACAAACTAGACTCAATAATTAGTAAACTTTCACATAATCGCACGGTCCGCACCAGAAGAGTAGTTGATACCAGATTTTTTTTGATAATTAGTAGTTGACACCAAAATTGAGGTGCCAAATTGGTATAAAATCAAAAACCTTACAATATTGTCTTGACTTTAGAACTCTACATATCATCAAATATCAATTAATTTTTGAGGCTTGACCTCTCAATCTTTTTCAATCAAGATAAGAAAAATTGATAAAAAAAGGTGTCAAGGAGAAGGCATAGCTCAAAATAAAGGATTGACTATCAATGCAGACCATTGCTGCACCAATAGTCTTTATACTGCAACTAAGCCCAGCGACACTACCTTTTAGAAGACCATTGACTATGAGTGCAGATCTTGGAATTTATTGTCTAGAGTTTGTACCTAGACATGGGGACTTCTTGGAAAGACATTCTAAAATCTGGAGCTTTTAGAATATCAAACCCTGTAAAACTGATAAAATTTCAGTTACTGAGACTCTGATCCTTCTATGTGGATTCTAGAATCGATCATAAAATCTACATGCAAAATATGAAACAAATGCCTTGGATTCTTAATAGAATCCAATTTTTCCATAGTATTTGGATTCTAGAATGCTGGAAAAACAGCCCGTTAGTTTTAGGACTTATTTGGTAGGAAACTGATCAAGAAATAATTTTATTGTCAGAAATTTGTATGATTGTGCCCAAGTGCTAATTGCTGGGAAAAAGAATCTACTTTTGATAAACAATTTTCCAGTTTTAGTTATTTTTGAATTCCTCCCATATATATGTGTTTCTACGAGTATATATAGTATAATGTTATGAGTCTTCAGGAATTGTTATATTAGGAAGATATCTAATTATGGTTCAGATTGTGGTCATAAAATAAATGTAGCTAGTTTTGAACAAATATTTCAAATTTGGTTTTTGTCTTTCCTTTTGTTTGATGCTCTCTCCATAAATCTCAGGCGCTAATCCTCAGCAATCTTATCCATGGTGCTATCTGAACCAAGGACTTGATTCTAGAGAATATAAGAACCCATTACCTAATGGTGATTCCAGCAATATGGGGTCTTGGGAGGGGTGTACTGGATACAGACCTAATCTTTGGCATGTTTTGCATAAAGTGGCTTCTCTCAGACTCAAACCCACACTCTCACACTTCTCAGCCCAAGATTTCACCATTACACCAAGCAATGTATCCTTGACTCAAGAAAATATGCTGATACTAATTCTTGATCAAGATGAAAGGTGTGACTCCATTTTCATATCCCCTTGTGGTCAATAACTCAATATAATAGTAGGTAGCTCTGGTTGTTAAATGTCTACAAGATTTATAGAGGAGAAAGAACGCAAGTTTTGGAGGGAAAATGGAATGCCTGCAAGATAAACACATAAAAATACACACCTGCTTGTATCCATATATAAATATTAGATTTCATAAGGCAGACAAAGATTTTAGGATACAATCTGAATAGCTCATTCAGATGGGTCGCCAGGTCTGCAGATGAACTAGTTGATACTCTAGCAAAAGAAGGGGTTACAAGAGTCATGTTAGCCAGGGACAGAAATGTAAAATATGCATTTTGGCTGCACAGAGGTGTTGCCTGTATTTTAATTGTGCATTTGGCCTTCTATCCAGAAGTTTGCATAACAGGCTTCCCCTGTGTATTTAGTTGAACAAAAATTGTCTTTGTTACTTATGGGAGGTCATCATGCCAGACATGACACCCAAATTCTTGGCACTGGTGCCATGTACCACGGTATCAGTGATTTCAAGGAGGGGGATAAGATATTTTCAGTATATCTGGTTGGTTCTTCAGTCCCCTAAGCCAAGGATCTGTGTTTTCCGTCTGAAGCATATCCCACCGTCTAATATATGGCATAATAAGCCTATTTTCTACACACTAGACATGCTAACTCACAAATATAATATTCGCAAGCTAATATTGTCTACATATTTTGGTCAATTAGATACATTTCAGACATTGATCCACTTCCTTACATAACAATGCAAATAGTTATTTTGCTATGCCAACATTCGATTTTAATATTAGTTAGCAGAAACTTTTCACACTGAAGAAAAGACCAATTGCTTCTGTGGCTAGAAAACATTAACTACTTTATCTGCTTATATGCAATTTCCAGTGCAAATGCTCCACCAATTTGTGTTTTATCTCTTCTCACCTTCCAAGTAAAATGTATGTTGTCTATTTAGTTTTTTTTTTTTTTTGCAGAAGGCATCTCACAGCACGTGCAAAAGCTCTCAGAGAGCATATGTATGTTTATGTGTATACATACCCGTTGGTACTTAACATTAAATGAACCAGCAAAGACCTACCTTGACAGTGCGAACCTGCATGAAAACTTTGTATCATCAAATGAAATAAATCAGACAAGGAACGTTGATCAATAGAGACAGAATAGAATGACAAAACACAAACATTCAAGAAGCAATTATTGGTTGGTCCAATATGTACCAAATTAGTAGAAACCCATAAAAACTCATGTGATACCTTTGTTCTGACAGAAAGCGGGCTTGCCACAATGAACTTAAAAGATTGTGGAAGATATTTGCAATCACCATCCCCATCAGTGTACAAAGCAGTACAAACCAGCCTGAAGATTAAATGAAGAGAAAGCATGATCAACATGGAGATATATTTCATAACATCAAGAAAGTAATGTATTGAACAGAGAAAATTTATAATCATCCACTCCCAGCCAAGAATTACGTGTGGGTCCCAAGCTCCTTGACATCATGTTCCATAATGAAATCATACCGCCCCCCTGAATGTATTGATGCAACAGGTGATTTTGAAGTATCCAATAACATTATACGCTGCCTCTCTGTTTGAATTTCAACCTGCATTCAGTCACTAATTTTTAAGGTCTAGGTAATAGTTGTTAGATTGAAAATTGTATTACTATAGATTTAAACACATGAAAAGAGCATAGGCATTTTATTGATATCATATCATAAAACCCCAGCCACTGCATATTTCTTTGTGTATCCATAAGCATGGAGACCATAACTTACATGCAAACAAAGATTCAATAACTAAAAAAGCTTTTTTCCTTGAGTAAAAGGTAAAGTATTGTATTGATTCCTTCAATTGATATAAAGATGTACAGGTATAAGCATGTACAGTGAGCCACTATAAATAAGTGTAAACATGTTGCAGCTCTCCCGCTAGCTAACAAACTTGCAAGGACATTCTGCAAATAAATCAGACAAATTAAATGCATAAGTAAAAGAATACAACTCAAAAATACAAACTACACAAATATGAACATTCCAGATACAATTAGATGCAAGGTCAAATCAAATTGTAAAAAACTGGATGAAATCAGCATTTTTAACCTTTTTCACATCAATGTAGGACTTAGTGATCTGGGTCATTTTGAAATTTGAACACGTTTTATTGTCATTTGTATTATTTTCCAGGTTTGTTGAGATCCTTAAACAGAATCCCAGCATCCCCACCAATCCTGAAACTAATTGGCTAAGGGCAAGAGTCATGGGATTTCCTCTGCATAATATATATACCCTCCAAACATATCAAGATAATACTAGGAAAGCTAAGAAGATAGAGAAGATGATGAGGGATTTCTTGTGGGAGCCGGGGCAAGAGAAGAAGGATCATTTTATTAGGTGGGAGATAGATGGTCGAAGTAAGGAGGAAGGAGGATTAGGATTAGGGAATCTTGCTCATAAGAATGTAGCTCTTCTAGGTAAGTGGTTGTGGAGATGGCCTTTAGAGAGGGAGAGGTTATGGCATGCAGTGGTGGTGAGTATCCATGGCTGTTCCGGAAATGGTTGGGATGTAAGGGTATCCAGACGGACAACTCTTGCAACACCTTGGAAGGCAATTCATGGCATCCTCCCCCAGTTCCTCCGCTTTGTAAGTGTTGTCAGTTGTTTATGTATTCAGATTTAGTACCATAAGGGTACTGTTGTAATTTCTCCTTCGTTTATATTGTTCGACTGTACTAGTATAAATAATAAAATCATTCTTTTGCCCCCTAAGTTCTGGAGAGCTTTCAGTCACTTGACTCATCTCTCTTCTCTCTTCTCCACTCCTCTCTTCACTTGCTCTTGCTCAACATGGTATCAGAGCAAGTCGTCCAGGCCTGAAGGGTGGTGTCAAGCTAACTACTGTTGCATCCAGTGCTGTCTCCAATCGAACACCTGATCTGGTGAAGTCAATTCAACCCAGAAGTTACAGAGTCTATTCGTCTCCAATCGTAGAGGGTGTTCTGTCTTCAGAAATTGGTGCTTTCCTTATTCTGCTCATCTTCTGTTCGGCTGCCTATTGTTTGAGGATTCGTAGAAGGAGCTCTGGTTTACAGTCAWGGAGTTCTGGTTTACCATAAGGGAGACTATCATCTGAAACTAAAAGAGGTACTATCATCCTTGTCTGTTCAGATGCCTATTGTTTGCTGAACTGTTTGATGACTGTTCGGCTACCCTACTGTTGTCTGTTCGAC